GGGTTTTTTTTTGTGTGTGTGTGTGTGTTTTTCGGGTTCCCCCCCTTTCCGTCCCAGAAGGGCCCTAGACGGCCCAATAGGCCCCAAAGATCGGGCCAAGAGGCTTCCGAGACGCCCCGGGAGGCGTCCAAGAGGCGCCCCAACATGCCCCCAAGATCATAGATTTTCCATCGGAAAGCGTACATTTTTAGCATATGCGGCTTTTCGGTTTTCACGGCGTTGACGAGCGGCCAAGAGGTCCCCAGGGTCGCTCCACGACGGCCCAAGAGGCCCCCAATATGCCCCCAAAACGGCCCAAGAGGGCCCCAAGACGGCCCAAGAGGCGCCCAGGCGGCCCAAGAGGGCCCCAAGACGGCCCCAAGAGGGGGACCACGAACCGAAAAGTCTAGCCGCTCGCCTCAAGACGCTCCCAGGAGGACCCAAGAGCACCCCAAGAAGCCCCAAGAGGCCCCCCAAAGGCGTCCCAAGAGGCCACCAAGTGGCACAAATCATGGAATTCCTGTTGGGAAATGTACATTTTTAGCATACACGGCTTTTCGGCTTTTGCGGCGTTGAAAACGGCCCAAGAGGCGCCCAAGACCGCCCCAACACGGCCCAAGAGGCTCCCAAGAGGCCCCCAAAACGGCCCAAGAGGGCCCCTTGACGGCCCCAGAGGCGCCCAAGACGGCCCAAGAGGGCCCCAAGACGGCCCCAAGAGGGGGACCACGAACCGAAAAGTCTAGCCTTTCGCCCCCAGGAGGCCCCAAGAACCCCCCTAAGAAGCCCCAAGATGCCCCCAAGAGGCCCCCAAGAGGCCCCCAAAAGGGTTCCAAAAGGGCCCCAATAGGACTCCGAAGAAGGCCCAGAGACGCCAAATAAAGAGCGATCGGTAACGCAAAATGCTCTTCACACCAAGGCTCCCAAGAGCGAACGGTGACGTAAACAAGCTGATAAGACCAAGGCTCCCTGCAGAGAGCGGTGACGTAACAAGTTCCTGACACCAAGGCCCAGCCAAGGCTCAGGAACGGGCGGCAACGCAACAATCTCTAAACACAAAGGCTCCCAAGAGCGAGGGGTGACGTAACAAGCTCTCAACGCCAAGGCTCCCGGTATGAACGGTGGTGTGAGTAATTTCGGTTCCTGTTTCTGAAGCGCTCTTTCCGTTTCTGTGCCGGGGCCAGGTAATAACGGAAAGAGCGAGGTACCAGTGATGACGTTCTGGTGTGGGCGAAGCCCGAAAGGGAGGGGTTTCAGGGGAGGGGGGTAGGCCGGGGGAATGGGGGTTAATGGCAGTTTTCGGCTTCTCTTTGGTTTTTGCATGTTTTTCGGGTTCCCCCCCAAGGCGGCACCAGAGCGCTCCAAGAGAGCCCAAGACCGCCCAAGACGGCCCAAGAGGCCGCCAAGAGGCCCCCAAGAGGCGCCCAAGGGGCGTCCCAAGAGGGCCCCAAGGGGCCAAAGTCATTGATTTCCTATGGGAAAACGTACATTTTCAGCATATACGGCTTTTCGGCTTTCACGGCGTTGACGGCGGCCCAAGAGGCCCCCAAGACCGCCCCAACACGGCCCAAGAGGCTCCCAAGAGGCCCCCAAAACGGCCCAAGAGGGCCCCCTGACGGCCCCAGAGGCGCCCAACACGGCCCAAGAGGGCCCCAAGACGGCCCCAAGAGGGGGACCACGAACCGAAACATTTAGCCGCTCGCCCCAAGACGCCCCCAAGAAGCCCCAAGAGCCCCCGAAGAAGCCCCAAAAGGCCTCCACGAGGCGTCCCAAGAGGTCCCCAGGAGGCCCAAATCATTGATTTTCTGTTGAGAAAGGTACATTTTTAGCATACACGGCTTTTCGGCTTTTACGGCGTTGACGACGGTCCAAGAGGCCCCAAAGACCGCCCCAACACGGCCCAATAGGCTCCCAAGATGCCCCCAAAACGGCCCAAGAGGGCCACAAGACGGCCCAAGAGGCGCTCAAGACGGCCCAAGAGGGCCCCAAGACGGCCCCAAGAGGGGGACCACGAACCGAAAAGTCTAGCCTTTCGCCCCCAGGAGCTCCCAGGAGGCCCCAAGAGCCCCCCAAGAAGCCCCAAGAGGCCCCCAAGAGGTTCCCACGAGGCCTCCAAAGGGCCAGACAAGGGCCGCAATAGGATTCCCAAGAAGGCCCAGAGACGCCCAAAAAAGAGCGATCGGTAACGCAAAAAGCTCTTCACACCAAGGCTCCCAAGAGCGAACGGTGACGTAAACAAGCTGATAAGACCAAGGCTCCCAACAGAGAACGGTGACGTAACAAGTTCCTGACACCAAGGCCCAGCCAAGGCTCAGGAACGGGCGGCAACGCAGCAATCTCTGAACACCAAGGCTCCCAAGAGCGAGGGGTGACGTAACAAGCTCTCAACGCCAAGGCTCCCGGTACGAACGGTGGTGTGAGTAATTTCGGTTCCTGTTTCTGAAGCGCTCTTTCCGTTTCTGTGCCGGGCCAGGTCTAGTGGTCTTCGGCCCAGCCCGCCACCGTATCTCTTGGGGTGCAGTGATCGAAGTGTCAGTTTGGCTTCCCTATTGGGTCCTTCTTAGGGCCCTCTGGAGGCCGTCTTGGGCTGTCGTGGGCGCCTCTAATGTGTTTTGGGGACACTTTGGGCACTTTTCAAGCTCTCTCCGGGGCCTCTTGGGTCGTCATGGGCGCTGTTACGACTACAACAGAGAATGTTTTACCAAACGCTTACCTTTTCTGAAGGATTGGGGCGATATGTCCGCTTCTTGGGGATCTTATTGTCCCCTTCTTCAGGCGTCTTGGGAGGCTCTGGCGCAGTCTTGAGGCGGGCCATCCCGTACCATCTTTGGGCCCTCTTGGACCTCCCTTGGGCGCCCCACGAAGTGCCAGGCGGCACGATGGCGGATTTTGGGCCATTTTGGAACCACCTTGGGCAATACTGGACGCTTTGACGGTGCCCCCCCTCCTGAGTCAGGGGAGGGGGACATGGGGGATGGGTATTCGCATCCCCGAAGGGTAAGAGGGGGATTGGTAGAACGAGTTCAGTAGACCACCTACGACACTTCTGATGGCAGTGCTCAGTACTAGAGCTTCTACTGAGCCTGAAGTTCTGGTGTGATGACTACAGCACTTATTGTCACTAGGCATACTACATCTCCTGCTACATGCCATGCGAGAACTACGAGTATTTCTCCTACTGCAGGTCAGGTTCTAGCTCGTGTTGCAGCTCGTACGAACATTCAGACTCCATCTTGTGTTACAACACGCACTGGGTATTCACTGCGGACTTTACTGCATGTGTACCATTGTACCGCCTGTTGCAGATCTTTCCCTATTTCTGCTACGCTTCCTGCGACAGATGTTGCAACAGCTCTTACTCGGTACTGCAGCTCCCGCCGCAGCTCCTACGACGGCGCACGCTGCGACTCCCACGGCATCCCACACTACAGTTTTGCAGTGCGGGTCCCCTTGCAGCCCCATGCCACAGCTCCTATCTCGGGTCATGCTAGTACAACCGCTCCCAGTTCGGGTCATGCCACGTGTCCTGCTGCACCTCGGGAGGACCCTCCTGCTGACGCTCCCTCGTGTGCCGCCCGCAGCTGTGGCTCTCCCAGGGCCCGCCGGTCTGCCGCCGCGCAGGGCCTCTCCGTCGTCGGGGGGAGGCCACCCCCAAGGGAGGTCGCCACCCAGCCCCCCTTAGAGGACCCAGCCTCGAGGGCCAGGGATCGGAGTGGACGGGGCGGCCCTGGGCCCGTCGCGACGACGACGACGACGACGACGACGACGACGACGACGACGACGACGACGACGACGACGACGACGACGAGGAGGAGGAGGAGGAGGAGGAGGAGGAGGAGGAGGAGGAGGAGGGAGGAGGAGGAGGAGGAGGAGGAGGAGGAAGAAGGAGGTGCCGCCCGCCCCGACGAGGTTGAGAAGCGCCCCCACTGGTGGTGACCCTCCCCCCCTGGCGCTGCGTGCTCTTCGCCCCCCGCCTGCGAGACCGCGCCAACGCACGCGATGGCCATCCACGCGGAGCGGGTGGGCTCCCTTTTGCCGCGGCCGCCGCAGCCCCCTCCCGCCTCACTGCGCCCCCCCGCCCTTCCTCCTCCCGGGGCCCTCGAGCATGGCCTTCCCCTCCTCGGGTGGGCTCAAGCCAGGCCGCCCCTTCCCCCTGCTACCGTCGGGTACGTCCGTCGAATCGAGTCGGAGGGGGTTTGAACCGTACTACCTGACGTAATCCCCCAGGCTTTAGATAATTGGTGCCGACTTCAGGATGCAGTGAGTGACGCTCGTGTGGCGACGAAGAGGTACCTGGCATGTTTGAACAATTTATCTGCCGGCTGCGCGTCCTGCGAGAGCCACCGTCTCTTCGTTCTCTCTTTCACCACTCTCGCACCGCGCTGCTAACAGTTTGTTCAGTTACGCTTGAATGCTCAGCGCCAGCGCCACCGCTCCGTCCCCAGAGGGCCCACGCCCCGGTCCGTGCGTCAGTCCCGTCACCCTCCTCCAGCCCGTCGTCCCTCTCGGCAGCCTCATCCCGACCCACCACGCCTTCGGTCCCCAGATCCTCCGTCCCCCCTCCCCCTCCGCCCTGCCCCGTCTCCTCCCTAGTCTCCTCTTCCTGCTCGTTCCCCGTCCTCATCCCTGCTCTCCTTTTTTCTCGTTCACGTCCTCCGTCGTCCCACCTCCCCGCCTCCTTTTTTCTCCCCTCCTCCTCCTGCTCTCTCGCCAGGGCTCCTCGTAAGGGCGAGAGGGGCTCCTCTCAGCCCCCCTCTGAACGCCTAGACGCCTAAACGTCTCCTCCTCCTCCTCCTCCTCCTTCTCCACCTCCTCCTCCTCCTCCTCCTCCTCCTCCTCCTCCACCTCCCCCTCCTCCTCCTCCTCCTGCTCCTCCTCCTCCTCCTCCTCCTCCTATTCCTCCTCCTCTTCTTCCTCCTCCTCCTCCTCTTCCTCCCTACTCCTCTACTCCTTCTCTTACCTCACTTCCCCTTCCTCCTTCTGCCACGCTGGCCTTCAAGCACCCTCCCAACTTGGCGCGGCAGGAGCACTTCGGCACGCACGGCCCGAGCGGCTCCGCAGGCTGGAACCCCCTCGCCGGGATCAAGAGGAATTTCGACGACGTGCCGGACTTCGACCGTCGTGGACCTCGGGAGGGCACAAGCCAGCGCGAGGAGACCAGGTCCTGGAAGAAACGGGTTCCCAGACGTTTTTCCGCCGTTCTCGGGCTCCCGGGGCTCCTCCTGGGATATCGGGGCCTTCACCCAGAAAAGCTGGCCTGGGGTTGCGCCCGGGGGTCCAGACTCCGCCCTCGTTCCGAGGGGGGGCGGAAAGAGAGAGAGAAAGAGCTCAGGGAACGATCTCCTGGGGGTCTTCTCCCCCTCGGGGATGTTTCCCCCGAGAACTCCCCGAGGGGCCCCCCCTCCTCTTGCTCCTCCTCCTCCTCCTCCGCCTCCTCCTCCTCGTCCTCGTCCTCCTCCTTCTCCTCCTCCGCCGCCTCCTCCTCCTCCTCCTCCTCCTCCTCCTCCTCCTCCTCCTCCTCCTCCTCCTCCTCCTCCTCCCCCTCCCCCCCCCCGCGCGAAGCCGAGGCTTCACCTCGCCGTCGTCTATTGGGGGAATGAGCAGCGCCGCCAGCTTCGCAGGCTCCCAGCATCGCCCAGCCTGTCCCCAGAGCCCCAGCGGGCCGTGTGGTCTCGGCCCCACCAGCCCAGCCTCCCAGGTGTGGGCATTTGCGCAGACGTGCTCGCGTCGTGGAAAGATCCTGACCGAGTCTTTTTAATATCATTATTATTATCATTATTATTATTATTATCATTTTCTATTATTAGTATTATTACTATTATTGCTTTCATTATCATTATTATTATTGTTAGGATCATTTTTATTATTATCATTCTTACCTACCAGTATTAGTCTCATCCAGAATTATAATAATGATAATAGTTTTATTTGTATTCTTGTTTTTTAATGCTCATTATGATCATTATTATTAGTATTACTGCTATCATTAGAACTATTGTTATTATTATTATTATTATCATTATTATTATTATTATTATTATTATTATTATTATTATTATTATTATTATTATTATTATGATTATGATTATGATTATTATTATTATTGATATTAGAATAAGAATTATACTCATAATAGTTATTATTATGGTTATTGTGATTACCATTATTCTTATCAACATTTTTATTGTTATTCTTTTTTATTGTTTTTTGTTGTTCCTCCGT